CGTTTTGTGGAAAGTATGGCATAGAACATGAAAAAACATAAAGCTTATGAGTAAAAATATTTGATTCAATAACTTTGCTGAATAAGCAAGAATTTATTTTAAATCTCTTACAGTAATTTTAAATGGAACCAGGACACAATACACTTGGTGATGTCATTCCATAGTCCACCACAGTGGTGCTCCCCCTCCAGAACCCAGCAGGACAGCCTGAAAAGGCACGGATTCTGAAGATTATATTGCAGGCAGTGTTTTTATATCCTTGCTCATTGTTTTGCAATCTACATTGCAATGACTGTCATTTCAAACATTCCATTTCCTCTCTTCCAAGAGGGAGTCATGGGTGAGTTCTACCCTAGATTCTCATGTAGTGTTATTCTGCATTATAACATTATATCCTGAGGAGCATGCTTACATGTATATTGACTTTATATTTACTATTTTTAACCCCTATAGACAATTTTATTATCTAAAACTGTTCCAAGGATCATATTTGCTGATTCTCTGCCACTTGAGGTATATTTATTGTGACTCTTGTGTTTTGCATCAAAAGTATTCATGGTTCTCTCTCTCTTTTATAAGCACAAATCATGTGTTTGTGTATCTCATGGATATACATATTTGAACACTAATACAATAGTTATCACATAGCAAAATGTTCTGCATTTCTCCACTACATTCATAGTTATTTTTTGATTGACTCGAGCCTTGTTTTCAGCTCTATTGCGGTATAATTGACAAACAGTTGTAATATATAATGTTCAATGAGATGATTTGGTATGTATACACTGGGAAAGGATTTCCACCAAGTTAATCAACACCTCACGTAGTTAACTTTTTTTTTTTTGGTGAGAACATGCAAGTTCTACTCCCAGTCAGCCACATGATCACGAGGGTAAACAACCAATAACACCATTCTATACCCACACAAACATTCTGTTTTCCACTTTCAGTACCGTTCAATAAATGACACGAGATATTCAACACTTTATTATAAAATAGGCTTTGTGTTAGATGGTTTTGCCCACCTGGAGTGTTCTGAGCATATTTAAGGTAGACTACGCTAAGCTATGGTGTTTGGTAGATTAGGAATATTAAGTGCATTTTCAACTTGCAATATTTTTCACTTACGATGGATTTATCCAGATACAACCCCATTGTAAATTGAGGATGATCTGTATACCTGGGCGTGGAATAGTATGGGTACAGGTAACTGTGTGTAACACTGTAAGGAGCTGCACCCAAGCAGTTTTCTAAACCAGCAGCACCATTTTTCGTAATCCCACCAGCAGTGCATGAAGAGTTTGATTTCTCTCTATCCTTTTGAACACTTGCTATCTTTTTTTTAAAAAAGATTTTATTTATTTATTTGAGAGAGAATGAGAGAGAGCACATGAGAGGGGGGAGGGCCAGAGGGAGAAGCAGACTCCCTGCCGAGCAGGGAGCCCGATGCGGGACTCGATCCAGGGACTCCAGGATCGTGACCTGAGCCGAAGGCAGTCGCTTAACCAACTGAGCCACCCAGGCGCCCGAACACTTGCTATCTTTTTGGTTTTAGCCACACTAATGGATGTGAGGTGCTATGTCATTGCTTTAATTTGCATTTTTATAGTAACTAATAATGTGCAACATCTTTTGTGTGATTATTGGCCATGTGTATGTAATCTTTGGAGAAATGTCTATTCAAATCATTTGCCCACTTTAAATTGGGTCATGTCCTTTAATTGTTGAGTTGTAAGTGTTCTTTATACATTCTAGATGCAAATTCCTTATAAGATATATGATTTGCAAATATTTTCTTCCATTCTGTGGTTGTTTTTTTCACTTTGTTGATGGTATCCTTGGGAGCACAAAAGTTTTTTATTTTT